ATATTTTAAATTCGAATTTATAGTTTAAATCTATATATTTGTTTAATTCAAATAATTTACAAACATTAGCCAATCAGCGTGAAAGCCTGCTATTGGATTAGGGTTAGAGTTAGGGTTAGAGTTGGGGTTAAGTATGGGCATGCCTTTTGGCCATGAGGCATGCCCATGCCCCTGTGCCCCGAACCCTATTGTTGAGTAGGAGTAGAGAAGTGAGTTTTAAATATATGATAAAAACTACAGGCTTGGGCATTGTCAATTCTAAAAGAAGTAGCAGTTTGGGTGTTATTTAAAGACTGATACCATTCTTGAGCAATCTCTTTTAGATATGTGGGGTCAAGCTCCAATTGTCTGTCCTTATTCTATCTATTAGCAATAGTAGCACGTTCAAATTCTTCTATCTATTCAACAGAATCTTGGGACCCATCTCCTTCGAAGTACTTCAAGGTTACCAAAGTTTTTTCATCACCTTGTTCTAGTGCAGTAGCTAAAGCTTGCATAGCAGTAGCAGCATCTCATAAAACAGCTTCAGCTATTGGTTCAGAATTTATAGCTATAGTAGAGTTTGCTTCAATATCAATTTGATCAAGAATTTGATCTGTTTCAAAACCAAATGATTCACGAGGTATACTAAAATTAGGATTTAAAACTACAGACTCAGGTGGGGAAGTATTAATAGGTAATTGATATGATATAGATTCTTTACTAAAAGAACTATCTTCTAAGTAAGTAATATTAGTAGGGTCAAAATATTGGGTTAATTGGAGGCTACTATTAGAAATATATAAAGTTTCAAGTGGTTCTAACTCTTCAGGTGGATTAATTAAATCTTCTACTTGGTAGTCAGTATCAATATATAAGTTGTAGAGGTTAGCAAAATATATTCCTAAAGGTGAATAATGTGTAAAGGTGGTATATCTTTGTAATAAATAAGTTATTAAAAATTTGGGATCAGGAATTTCACTATAATAGCGACAACTGAATATTATATTTTAAGCAGCTCGACGTGCGATAGTATATCTGGTAGTATGCTTTAAAGTATGTAGTTGATTACGGATAGATAAGCTACAGCTCATATTTCAAAAACTCTAATTTCTATATATAAACCACATATAAAAAATTAGGCCCTAAAAAAGGTTTTATTTTTAATGTAATATTGAAAAAAACTCTTTATTTTTAATGTAGCACCAAAAAAACTCTTCTTTTTTTATAGATTAATGACATGTAAGAGTGTAGGATAAGCCTAAAATTTTTGTATAACCCTAAATCATATAAGTGGATAGACGGAAAATGCAAAGTTACTTTTTTAATATTTTAATATAAAATACATCAAAAAAGTAATTTTTGTATCACAATATATAGAAATATATGGTTTGTCACTTCGTTCTAGACAATTAGAAAATTAGATTTAGAATATTGTATTAAAAAGAAGAATAGTTTAGAAAGAAAAAATTGCCAATTAAATTTAGTTAAAAATTTTTTCAATTTGAAACTATCTTGTTATAATTTTGCTAGCTAGCTTGGTGTAGCTCTCTGATACAGACAATAGCCTTAATCAGTATGATAGACCAGTGTTGTTACAGGACAGTTGTGGACAGTAAGTTTAGACACTTTAGACAATTTTGAACAATTAAATAAATTAAAATTACTCAAAATTTTATTAAGATAATCTATATTAATTTCTAAGTAAAATATGTTCAGCATATAAAAAAATATATAATTATATATTTTTTAAACAAATTATTAATTATTAATACTTAAATATGCTCTGGACGCTTGGATGTTAGACAGTACCAAAAAAGCCTTTAGACAGTCAAAATGTATAATACTATAATAGACTGTATTTAGGGTTTGAGTCCCATGGCTTATTGGTTAAGCTCTCAAACCCCCACAGACAAGGTCGACAGTTCAAGTCGGGCTAGAGGCAAATTAAATAATTTGTTTCTGTAACCTTTGGGGGCCATAATTGAATACGGAGCCCTGTGACCAAGTCCAAGTGCAGGTATGAGGCTAGAATAGGAATTTCCGAAAAGAGACCTAAATATGAAGCATTGGCACTATGTATAACTACGGTGTTACAAAAGACTGCGGCTATAAAGATTGCATGAATAAGTCCTTAAGAGATGGAGTAGCTCCAACATCCATGTATCTCCAAGTTTGGCAATACTAACATCTCTACATCTAACTTGTAGGGTACTTGCTTGGAAGGGTGGTCAACGGATTGCACAAATAAGTTCTTATTTGGAAAAAAGATACAGGTACTTGCTTGGGAGGGTGATCGTCATAACCAAAGTTGGAAATGGTGAGAAAAGTGGTGAATATGTAAACAGTCTGTGGTAAAGGATTGGCCTTACCAGAATCAGAAGTACCTCTAGAAAAGCAGAATGAAGATACTATAAAAGGCTAAGACTATAGAGGTTGTCTGACATTCTGTGTATATATAAAGATACCGAATCAGGCTCTGGTTGCACCTATATGGAAGTCTATAACGAACAAGTCTAGGATCTATCAACCTCTGGGGTTTACAATAACAAATAGTAGTATAGCATCACTGGGGTCAGTGTAACTCTCTAGGAATAACCGAAATTGTCCTAGTATTGTATAACAACATGCTGGGAGCAAGTATTATATGGTAGTATAGCATCACTAGGGTTGGTAAACTCTCTGGGTATAACCAGAATTGTCCTAGATGCTTGTGAAATATGTTCTAAACTCACCATAGCAGGTAGTACTTAGAAGAACTAAAGAAGACACCAAGTAACTGTATAACATTAAGACCTGGGGCATCTGCGGTTAAGCTGCGATAGCAGAAACTGGCTTGAGATATGGGTTAGTAGTACTTGGGCAGATAAGTGGTAGGGGTTATCTGACAATGAAATACCAATACTGTCATGTGGTGAATCTAACTAGGCAGCAGTTTCTGGCTTGAGATACGAGTTCCTGCAAATCCTGGACCAATGTTGGAATACCTTAGGGAAAACAATAACATGGCACACCAAACTGGGAGATCATAAAGATCTATAACCTGAATATTACCAATTTGGAAGTTGTACAGAAGCAAGGTGGTAGAAGCGAGAAATATAGATTTAGCTAAATAAAGTAGTTTCAGAATGCAGGAGTAGCATCAATACAGGTATGATTCTCCTCTACCAGCTTAGCGGTTTAATGACAATGCTTCTCCAAAGTTGGGAGGTACTTTGACCGCAAGTGTTGGCCTCAGTCATAGCGTGCTGGTAGTACAACAAGGATATATCTAAGTATCCATTTGGGTAGCCGGATAATGTTATCAGGTTTCTGTGTTAGGTTAACATAGCCTAGTAATAGGTTGTAAAATATTTCGAACAATTATGTATATATTCTAAATATATCTAATAAAGAATCACTGGTCTTCCTTGCCAAGTTAAAAAAAAAAAAAAAAATAGACTGTATTTAAGTGTCTATAGAGAAAGCTAAGTGATATTAGATTTACAGCTTAGATTTAGAATATATTTGTATATTCACTTTGATTTAATAAAAGATACTGGCAAAGCTGCTGATATATAAAAAAAAGTTTGCTAATTTCAAAAAAAAATTAGTTTTTTTGGGTCTGCTATTTATTATCTGATTTTTATATATTATTTTATAATTTGTAAGCTTTTTCAGACAAATTTACTTATAAATATATTTATAATTTATATTTTTTAATTTTTAAAATATTTAAATAAAATTTTTAGATATTCTATAGAATAGGTGGGCAATATAAGAAATAAGCTTTGCTGATAATTAGTAATCATTAATTTTTAATAGCAGAGTTGTGAAGTTTGCGGTATTTGCCCACCTATTCTATAGAATATCCAAATTTTTTAATAATATTTGAAAATAAGAATTATATTATAGTTAGTATTTAATTTTATTTTATAAAAAAAAATTTAAGTTGCTTAGAGGCGTGCCATTTATCATGTAATATTTTTACTTAGTAGCCACCTCTATCCATGTATGGTATGATCACTCTAGCTTAATTCTGATTGGCTAATTTAATTAATTATTAAAAATCTTCTTAATATTTTTAAAATTGAATAACTTTTGATTTACTGGTTCATTTTGAATAATTTAACTATCAAAATGTTCGTATTGATGAGAGGATTCTAATGAGTCCAAAATTGCTAAAATCCAATTACAGAATCTTGAGATCATTAAAGTTTTTGGTACTATTTCATATATAATAAAATTAATTTTATTATATATAAAATAGTACAAGAAACTTTAACGATCTCAGGATCCTGTAATTGGATT